TGTGCTGCAGGTTTCCTGTCTGAGCTGGTCCAGGAGAAGCCACTGGATCAGTGTGTGAGGGCGGCACACTACGCCGCCAACGTCATCATCAGACGAGCAGGTTGCACCTTCCCAGAAAAACCCGACTTCAACTGAAAACCTGAAACCTTCAGCCTGAAACCTCATACTTAATCAGCAGTATTCAATTTTTCTAAAAAATATTATGCCCCATTTTTAAAAATATTTTTTTCAATCAGCCATCCGTCCATGTGATCCGCCCATAATTCTGTACCAATATTTAGTTTGGTGCCTCCTGATATGTGCCTGTCTCCGTGTTCTCCACTTGAGGCCACTAGAGGCTCAAGCAGCCAAGAGCCAAGAGAAGATTTGTTTCTATAAATGACCATTAAGGAATAATAATAATGATACCACAGGATGTGATAATTTTGCCTTACATAAGGGGTCTAAATGGGAAATATTGTTTTCATGGACAGTTGTTTTGGGATTCTTTCTAAATGTATTTTGGCTCTGACGCCGTCATCGTCCGGCTGCACTGACGTCCATCAGACTCTGCTGCGAGCTCTTGTGTTGACAACTTACAAGTTTCTTCCCTTTTTGGAGACAGAGTCGAAGCACAAGAGGTTAATTCCACTATGGGAGGACACATTATACACAAACAGGACTAAAGAATAAAACATTATTGTCAAGGGAGGTTTTGGATACTGCATTGAAATATGCAGTAATGATTTGTTTTAGACTTTTTTTTTTAACATTAATTATTCCTGATTATGAGTTTTGACTTGTTTAGATTTGAATTGAACCGGCCAGTTATAAAACCAAATGTTTTATTTTTAAGCGCACACTTTTTAAATGTGTCTCTGCCCACTAAGTCCTATCGTCACTGTTAAATGTCCGCTTTATTGTGTGAACAATATTCAGAAATTACTTTCAACATCACCACCGGAAGTTTGTGTTTTTCCTCACGCCATTTTTTGGGGCAGGTGCTTTTAGTAATGAGTGCCTTTTTCCTTTTCTTTCTCTGTAAATGTTTAGTTTTTAAGTTGGAAACTTGCAAGATTAGACCAGTGATGGGCAACTGGTGAATTGCAGGGGTGGAAATGGACGTATAACATCTGTAAAATGGTACGCTGGTATTGCCGGAAAGATATTATTTTTAAAGGTTCTCTGTCAGAGGAATACAGGAGGGCATTCAAACTGATCTTTCCTCTGTTGTTGCTCAATATGCACTACCTGAAGAATATGACACGCCCACTTCAGTACGCACTTCACCTGCAAATTATTTGGTTCCAGACTTTTCAGGTTCCAAATAAGTTTATTTTTGGTGGAAATGCTACAAACGGTTATGGGGCCAACCATTTCAAACCATTATGTATTTACCTTGAGTTCGTGTTGTCATCTGCACAACACTGAATACTTAAATACAACTATTCTGAATATTTATAACCTCAAAACTTTAATGTTGACGGGCAAGAAGTAGTGCTGTTTTTTCTGAATATTACAAGAGATGTTTTGAAACTTGAACTGTTTCTTTATACGTTCAGCCAAAAAGCCTTATAGGACATTTTATTTTGAGTCTCGATAGTTGCCCATCTCTGTGCCAGACTCATGATGCCTAAAATTCACAAATAAAACTGTGTTAATCCTATTGCTTATTCATTTTTCTGAGTATTTTTACTTATTTTTACATTTGTTTTTATGCTTCAAAGAATTTATTTTAATATATATAAATCGATGACTATTCTTAGAAAGAGATGTGCATTTTATCTCACTTGATAAACATCGATGGTACCACATATTTTGCTTTGAGTTAACATTAGTGAGTGGATTTTAGGCTTCTTAGTTCTCAACCCCGCTGGCAGACAGTGAATCTGTAAGTCCACTCAGATCTGCAGCTGCTGCTTGAAGTGGACCACTTCTGTCTCCGGATGTTGAAGATTATCAGTGCTCTGAAATGAATAGTTGATTTTCAGATGCAAGATGGTGGAAGATGAGGCAGGAGGAAGAAAGTGAGTGCAAACCATAGTTTAGTTTCAAATTTGAGGCACTTTATTCCTTTCTTTTCATGCCACCTCTGCTCCAGTACAAATCAGAGGGAAATATTGAACTTTTTCCTCCACTACCATTTTAAGTTACTTTACAAATGAAGATTTCTGCACAAAGAAACATGATAATCTTATAAAATATGATTTGTAATAAACATCAACATGTACAGTTAAAGTGATTAGTTGATTAACTGATTGACTGCTTGTAATGGTAATTAATAATAACTTTGAGTTTTGTGCTGTTGGTTGGACAGAACAAGCATTGTTAAGGTGTCACTTTGGGCTCTGTGTAATTGTGACAGCATTTCTCACCATTTTCCAAATTTCAATCAATTGAATAATGGAGAAAATAATCAGCCGATTTATCCATAATGAAAATGATCATTAGTTGTAGTCCAGTACATCTCAACCAAATACAAGAGTAAAATCCTGCTTTTACATTAATGCAAAGTAATAATAATCTCATGATATAATATATAATTTTTTGACATGTTTCTGCCTTGAGCACTTTTACTTAAAGTACATTTTCCTGATTTTACTTTTATATTTTAAGTAACATTTTCAATACAGTACTTTTACTCACAAGAGAGTATTTTGACTTTTTCTTAAGTAAAGTATCTGAATACTTCCTCCACCACTGCTCATCAGTGCCAGAAGACCAATGCTGATAAAAAAAAACCTTGAAGAATGGGGTGCCCTAAAGGCTTTTCACCCCATTCCTCAATTTTACAACACTGGTGTGAAAAAACAAAACACAATTTAATGACACAATAGTTAAATAAACATAAAGAACATTTTTGAATAACCGAGATGAACACAGACATATTATCTATCTTGCATCTCTCTTTTTTGTCTCAGCCTCTCCTCCTGTAATGTGATGTCCAGAGCTCTGAGCTGTTTCAGGAAGCCGTGATTGGGCAGGATGCAGCGGCGCTGTCGCACATGCTCAATAGCATCCACCACTGTTAAGTTGCATTTCATCATCAGGTATGCCAAGACCAGGGTCGCTGACCTGCTCCGACCCATCACACAGTGCACCAGCACCTTGTCTAGAACAAAATGAAGTCAATATAGATCTGGTTCATCAGAAACATACTAAACCTCAATGATTTCCTCCAGGACTTACTCTGTGGGTGACTGAGGGCCTCGTGGATGAACTGGGCTGCAGGGCAGAAGTACTGGGAGATGTTGAATGTGGGTTTGTCATCAGCCTCTACACCGTAGTACTGGATGTCCATGTCACTGTAGTACTCAGCACCAGTCAGCACATTATTCCACTTCCCCTCTGCTGCATTAAGGACATGTGTAATACCCAGATCCCTCAGGCCAGGACGCTCCAGAGCAGTTTTCCTGTAACACACAGACTCATAATGAAGCTGCCATCATGGATTTTAACACTTATACTCTCTGTGTGCATTTACTCACTCATCCCCGATGTAGACACTGGGCCAGACTTGGTTGACATGTGCATACTGAGCCCCGGTGCCGGTCCAGAACAGCTGCTCCAGGTCTAATGTGCCCGGTGTGATGTAGTCACTGTCTGGGTCCACCCGCACCGCTGTGTATGGGTTCCTGCTTCTGGGCTTGACCACACAGGAGGACATGGCTCCCCTCTGCCATCAAGAAAAACACACACATTAATCAACTTAATCACAAACTAAAAAACAAAAACAAACAAAAAAATGTACATTGTTATCTGCACCCAAGCTGTGTAGATATAATATTAACATAATACACCAGTGATATTTCAAATACAGACGTGTAGCTCAAATCAGTTAAGTCAATTAATCAAGTAGTCGATCAACAGGAAATTAATTTGCAACTGTTTCTATAATTCTTTAATAGTTTGAGTTTGCTTCTTAAATGTGAATGCTTGCTGTTTTTTTGCATTTTAGACTCTTAGTTTGACAAAAGAAGACAAAGAGAAATTGTGCCAGGCCTTTTTCATTTTATAGATCAAACAAATAATTGTTAGTTTATGGAGGATGAAGGGCACAAATGCATGAAAATTTATTAAATGCATTTCACTAACTTATATTTTATTTGAAAAATAAGTCATAAATTGATACATTTTTTATTTATTTATTTAGGTATTCATACATAACTAAATAAAACAGCACACACTTTATGAGCCTCAATTTAACATAAAGCAAGAGGAATGTATTGTGAATTTATTTCACTTTTTAAGAAATCTATTGTGGGATTTATCAACAAATCCCACAACTTACAAATGATTAATTTATTAATTTCTTTTATTTTGATATTCATATATCACCATTCACTTTTCCTTTATTAATCTCTCAGTTTGTTTATCTTACAGTTGATCTCAGTTTCAGTCTACACCACTGTTGAATCCACTCATCCTCAGAGTGAGTGGTTTGGAGTAAAACAGTGTCTTGATGAGGAGAGCTGAAGATGAGTTTATTCATCTACTCTACAGGTTGAATGTTACAATAAAGTACTTTGATAGAATAAAGTGACTTACCTCTTTCCCGTGTTTAAAGCTTTAAATCTGTTCTTGAGCAGGATCTCAGACCAGCACCTTAACTTTTCCTCAGTGGACATGTGTGAACTGTAAGTATGTGTGTGTGTGTGTGTGTGTGTGTGTGTGTGTGTGTGTGTGTGTGTGTGTGTCTGTCATTAACAGAGACCTCCCTCTGCAGTAAGCATGAAGGCTAAAATACAGATCTGGAATGGTAACTGCTCTCTCAGGCTCTGTGTTTAAGTTGATATTTTTAGGCAGCTGGTCTACAACACCTGACCTCAACAACGTCTCACACACGCACACACACACACACACACACACACACACACACACACACACACACACACACACACACACACACACATGGTTTTCTCACAGTCACAGTCACTATGTGATCTGAGTCCTCCAATGTGACAGTGATTACTTTCCTTTAGCCTGTATGGTAAAGAAACACGCAAGAGAGAGAAACGATGTCAGGAAAGAGAAAGAAGTTTATTAAGAGTGGCATGTTGCATTATTGTCATTATAAGAATGTCAGTCATGTGTGGACAGGTGTGGGGATCAGGGAGTTATTTCTGGAGACGTAAAACTTAAAGCATTCAGTAGTTACATTTCATTGATTGTTGGGGCAAAGATCATCTATGAGGCTGAGCTTTTCTTGCAACAAATGACACATAGATTACCTTTTTATTTCTCAGATTGAATTGCTATTTCAGAAAATTTGCATTTCAAATAAAACAGGTGTCTGACAAAGGTGAAAGGGCATGTGTTCATCGTCATGATGTGTCCTCCTCTGTAACCTGTCTGTTCTGCAGACTGAGGCTCAGCTCCAGCTGCCTTAGCTGCTCCAGAAAGCCTGAATTGGGTCCAATGTCTCTGTTTAGACGCACAGCGACGATGGCTTCTGCTAACGACAGGCCCTGGCAGATCATCAGATACGCAAGAACCAGCGCTCCAGACCGACTGACACCCATGGCGCAGTGGACAAACACCTTTCCTGAAAGATATCAATAATAATAATCAAGAGTAGAAGAGGACATATAATTCATCAGCAGTCAGCAGAGATCTCTCTATCACTCTTAATCTGTGCAGCTGAAAGCTTTAATATTCAACATAAAGAGAACAAGAACTAATTGAGATGATATAATGATTCAACATTAACTGTGTATGAGCTTCTCTGTAATTCCCTAACATGTTTAAATTAGTATACACATAAGTGAACCAGAAACTTTGCTTGTAATATCTGTGTTAATATTGCATTCTTTGATCTTTGTGAGTTGTATTTTAGATGTGTGATATTTGCGCGCTGACCGTTCTTCTTCAGAGCGCTGTCTATGAACTGTGCAGCAGGGTTGAAGAAAGGTCGGAGGTCAAACTCTGGATGGTCTGCGGCTTCAACACCGTGGTATTCCACTTCAAGGTCACTGTAGAACTGCTGACCTGTGTTGATCCGGTGTCGACCTGCTGCGGCATTCAGTATGTGAGACACACCCAGAGACGAGAGTGTAGTTTTATCTTGCGCCACGGACCTAGAGACACACACCACATGCAAACTGATTTATTAAAATATCTTTTACATAATTTCAAGCTGCTGGTTGTGAGTTTTCTACTCACATGTCTCCGATATACAGGTTGGGCCAGACTTGGTTGAAAGGTGCCACTGGCATCCTGTTTGTCCAGAGAATTTGCCTCAGCTCTGTCAGAGATAGTGTCTCCTCCTCCTGGGTTGGGTGACCTCTGCAGCAATAAAAATGTGTGTGTGTCTGTGTGCATATGTGCGTGCAAATCTTGATGCTTTGTGAGTTTGAGAGTGTCTTTACAGTGTTTGTGCCTGTCGTCGCCTCCTCCTCTCCCTCTCCAGGCTCATGTCGAGGCCCCGGAGCTGCTGCAGAAAGCCTGGGTTGGGACAGATGTCTCTGTGCGGCCTGACGGCAGCCACCGCCTCCTGCAGCCTCAGCCCCTCAACGATCATCAGAAAGGCCAGCACCAGTGTTGCAGAGCGGCTCACACCCATCAGACAGTGGACAAACACCCGTCCTGGGACACGGACATTTGCTGTTACCTTATATACATACATACAAAACTTCATTAGGAACAACTGTACAATCTAATGTCATCCAATACAACATATCACAAACTACAAGATGGGAGCTAAAAGATATAATTTAATGAATTAACATTATAGGCATTATGAAATTAGACTTTATGGAAGAACAGTTGTACCTAATCAAATAGACACTGAGTGTAAATCCAATCACACACTAAAATAACATCTAAGTGTGACTGACTTGCCTCCCTTTGCCAGTGCAGCTCTGATGTATCGGGCTGTTGGGTAAAAGAAAGGACTAAGGATGAAGTCCATTGCATCGTCAGCCTCCACCCCATAATAATCCACTGTCATGTCTCTGTAGAAACGTGGGCCAGTGTTGACGTAGAAGCAGGGTCCGGGGCCGGGGTTTGGGCGTCCATGGGCAGCATTTACAATGTGTGTTATTCCCAGACTGTGGAGAGTGCCCTTGTCACGAGCCGCCGCCCTGAAACACCATCACACATTCACATCTGTATGTATGAAGTTTTTATATATGTGTATATGTGTGTGTTACTGTGTGTGAACCTACTCGTTGCCTATGTAAAGGTTAGGCCAGACCTGATTGACATGACCAGTGGGTCTTCTGTCTGCCAGCAGGAAGTCCTGCAGATCTGAGACAGAAGGAGGTTCATATGGTGGATCCCTAAGAGACATACTGACACACACACACACACACACACACACACACACACACACACACACACACACACACACACACACACACATCAGTGGTGGAGGAGGTATATAATTACTGCACTAATTAATTAAGTACTAATGCTACACTGTAATAATAGGCTACTCAGTTACTTAAATTCCAGCGCTGAAATGGTACTTCAGTAAAAGTGCATAAGTATAATGAGGAAAATCCTTATATATTATATCCGTAGCTTATTATTATCATTAGCAACACTTTACTGATGCAGCTGGTTGTGGTGGAGTTGATATTTAACTATTTTGTAGGACTGCAATTATTTTCATCATGGATTAATCTGCTTATTATTTTCTCCATTAATCGATTATCGGATTGTTTGGTTTGCAAAATCTCTTAAAATAGTCAGAAATGACATCACAATTACCCAGAGCCCAAAGTGACACCTTCACAGTTAGTAAGTTATTAAAAATAAATAGAATTTCTTTTTAAGAAATAAATAAATCTCATATTTGAGAAGCTGGAACCATTAAATGTTTTTGCATGAAAAATGACTGAAACAATAATCAAAAGAGTTGATAAAATTGTTTTCTGTCAATCGCCTTATTTCATTGTTATAAAATAAAATGAACGAAGTTAGAATAAAAATGTTTTTTTTGTTTAAATATAGAGGATCTGTTCTTTTTTGTGCATTCACTGTTGAACATGATATTCTTAAAATATCAGTGAATATGATCAAAAACTTTAATGGACTACATGTTTCAGCTGTACTTGTAGTTTTGTGTAGTTTAAGTTATATTTCATGAGCTCCTTGTATGTTTGGAATGCAAAATTGTAGGAAAGATGTCAAATATTTGTAGGGTAAAAAGTACAAAATTTCCCTCTGAAATGAAGTAGAATCAGAAAGTGGCATTAAAAAAAGACTCGAATTTGTACAATACTTGAGAGTAAATGTACTTATTCCACCACAGACACAAAAACAGAAAGCACATATTAGGCGTTATATGAAATATGTTCTGTAATATTAAATTATATGCAAAGTTTTCTTAACAAACACCTCACAATTACCTTTTCTTAGAAAACTAATACAATCATCTCCAGTGATAAAGAGAAGAAGGTAAAGAGATGACACTCACAAACTAATATTTATACTCTTGTGAACTTACCTCACTTCAAGGCAGAGAAAACTCTTCTCCTACTGTGTTCGCTGTTATTTCTCTATAAACACTCACACACACATATGACTGCAGCCTGTCTCCTTTATATAACTCTGTAATCATACACTCAGAGTTGGAAAACATCCTGCAGAATGCATTTATCAGCAATTCAGCACTTTAAAACACATTTAATCCATTTTTACTACATTCTTATAGTCTCATTCCTTTGGACCACAATGTGGCATTATGCTGTGAACTTTAACATTAGCTCACTTGCTCAGTTTCCATGACCGCAGACTGTTGTGTAATACACCAATGTACTGTGTGTGTGTGTGTGTGTGTGTGTGTGTGTGTGTGTGTGTGTGTGTGTGTGTCTCTATGCCTGCTGCTCTGCTGCTTTCAGAAACATGATCCAGGCTGTGAATAACATTCACCACTGACGTGTTAACTTTATCTGTGTTGTGTTGATTACATAATGCTGAGTTATTTTCATGAATCAATAATGTAAGTTATGCTCATTGCATGTAGAAAAAACAGATGGCACATATGGCCTATTTATATAAATGTACCCATGTTTTTATTATGAGTTCAAATTCATTTAAAACTCAATAAATGTCAATTTTTTTTATTGCAATATTTTCTTTTTTTGATCAATCATAATATATTATCCCATATATTATTTTATTTATGTATTATTTATTTTTACGGAAATCCTTTTTTTTTGCCTTATCAAAGATGTTTTATATGTGTAACTGTACTGTATCAATCTATTGCTTGTTGTTGTTAATAGTTAAAGCAGCAATAAGGACCTTTACATTTTTGTTGATTCTGGCAGCCCCTGTGGAGAAAAGCAGAAGTGTTTCCACCGCCTCTTTTCATTGATTTCAAGGGGAATCCGACAGAATCCGAACCCTGGGGCAGGCATTGAGAATAACTAGAAATAGCCTTCTAGCTGATAGTCTGGTTTGCTTTATGTAGGTCATATAAAGGCATCAGTATCAAACTGAGACTGTTTCATAACCAGTAAAACGTAAAAGTTTAATAGGTCTTTGTTAAATGAAAATAGTTTTTAGTGTTTTTGATGAGAGAGGACATGTATGTGTTAATGCAAAATGATTTGGCTGAAACAAAAACAAAACTCGGGTTTAAGAGATCAAGGAAGAATAACAGGATACCTTATTAAGCAAACAGTTCAAAGATATGTCTTGTTAAAAGGTATAATATGCATACCAGTCGTTTAAATTATTTTATTTTAAAATATAGTTTGCAACTCATTTTATATCCAAACAAAATGACCAAAATAGTTCAATGAAATATCATAAAATGTCTTTAATGGACATTCACAACAGGTCATGAAGCTGTATTTACAAAGCTTGTGCCTGACAATACTGACATTTAAATACAATTTGAATATGAAAAACAAAACTCAGACATATTTACAATATTTCACAACACGTTGCTGCTGTACCCAGAAGTCAAAAAGTAGACCAGAAATAATCCAACTCACACCTCTGACTACATCATACACAAATCAAATTATTATTTACAGATTAGAGTTCAGACTAACACACGGAAGTGGAGACAGGACTTGAGGTGAGTAATGTGATGAAGGAGCGTATAAAGGAGGTGGAGAAAGAGAGAAAGAGGGATGTCAGAGAAGAGGACACATCCTCCGTTTGAGCGTCAGCCGCTCATCCAGCTTGAGGAGGAGGGACAGGAAATTCTGGTTGGGGTAAATTGCTCTTTTTTGGACCACACGCCTCAGAGCATCTCTCAGAGAGAGGCGCTGCCGAAGCATCAAGTAGGCCAGGACCAAAGTGGCCGATCGACTCACGCCCATGATGCAATGCACCAACACTTTTCCTGTAGAGCAGGATAGAGAATGTGAAAGAAAATAGAGAAAAAGTACAAAACTATAACCGTTTGATGGGACACATTCATATTCTGTACCGTCTTTGCTCTTCAGAGCTTTATGTATGAAGTCAGCCGCAGGTTTGAAGTACAGACTGAGGTCAAAGCGCTCTGAATCCTCAGCTGGGATGCCAAAGTAAACGCAGGTGTTCCCGTAAAAACTCTGGTCACCGATGCTGCCCTGCTTGTAGTGCGCTGCATTCAGGACATGAGTGATGCCAAGCTTATGTAATGTCTTTCTATTCTGTGCTACAGCCCTGAAAAACAAACAAAGGGGAATAAAGGAGAAACACGTCAAACAGTATGATGGATTGATATGAAGATACAGGGACTCTAGGAAAACACACACACAGGGACTTTACTTTACTAACAGGCTGATAAAACAGATCAGTTCCTTATGAAGAGCTTATGAAGTCTTCCCGGCAACAAACACACTGGCACTCACACATTTCCTATGTACAGGTTGGGCCAGACTTCATCCACTGGCGTGAGCTCCAGTGTGCAGGAATCCAGGATGCGCTCTAGCTCCTTAATGAGCGCCAGGTCCTGTGGCTGCTTGCTCCCTGACATTCTCCTTGGACACAGTGTGCTCCTCCAACACTGCTCCTGCTGTCTGTGTCCACTGTCCCTTCACTGCCAGCCTCTGAGCAGCTCAGTGAGAGACGTGAGCAGGTGGCTGTTTGAATGCCGCTTGGCTCCAAAATTAGCTCTGTGTGTTCAGTGAGTTCTCTTTGACTGGATGCAGAGTTATTTAACATTGCTGTTGCATTGATCGGTCTGTTCACTGATGGGGACTCTCTCTGCCACCACTAAGGTCACATCGAAAGAGGACGAGGGAGGGGAGGGGTGGACACAATCAAACTGTTTAGTGTATACATACATAGTGAATGGTACAAATGGACACAGTCTTGCATGGGTTTAAATGAGGAACGCTGACTTCTGCTGACTAAGGGAGGACAATTCTATGGATTTATTTTGTAGGGTCGCACTTCGCTTTTGTTTCATTTTGCCTCATTCGACCCTTCGTCCTGCAGTTTTCTGTCCAGGGCTATAAGCTGTCGCAGGAAGCCTCGGTTTGGGAAAATCCAGCGTTTCTCTTGAACACAGTGCACAGAAGACAGGAGGCTGAGGTGGTGATGAATCATCAGGTAGGCTAGGACCAATGCAGCCGAGCGACTCACACCCACAGCACAGTGCACAAACACCTTTCCTGGAAATAAATAACAAGAAAAGGCACAAATAAAGAAAATACAGAGTGTTTCTATGTAGTGTCACATGTGTGGCAGCTTCACGGTACCTCCTGATGTCAAAGCCTGGTGAATGAACTCGGCAGCAGGGAAGAAAAAAGGTGAAAGGTCAAATGTTGGCAGGTCATTGGCTGGGACTCCGTAGTATTTCACTGTGGTTCCATAAAAATCATCACTCCCCTTACAGCAGAGCTTTCCATGCGCTGCGTTCAGCACATGAGTGATGCCCAGCTGCCACAACCCCAGCTTGTCATGAGACATAAACCTGACACAAATACCAAATATTATACATCAATAACAATCCAGACACATGTGTATATGAACTTAAACAAATCACAAGATACTTACATGTCTCCCAGATACAGGTTTGGCCACACCTCATCTCCGTGGCGACAGGAGCGTGGAGCTGAATGTAAAACCTCCTCCAGCTCCTGGAGAGACGGGATCTTCCACGTCCCCTTTGAATCCTGTGTGCTCTTATCCTCTTCTTCTGGGTCTGTGTTGCTGACATTTCTCTGCTCTGAGTCTTGTGGATCACATCTCACCTCAGAGGCAGCAGCCAGGACTGTTTTCCTGTCAGTCATCTCTAAGTTTAGAGAGTGGAAACCATTCTGTTATTTATTATAAAAACGAACTGCTGCCTGCCACCTTCACTTTGGTTTGCTGTATCACTCAGCCTTTTGACTGTCAAAAACAGGTGGTGCAGTTTGGCTCAGACTCTCAGCCAAACTCTCACACGTGGACATGTGTTTAACATTACTGGTTTCAAAACCACTGCTTGTACTCTTTTTTGGGTCAAATTCAACCAAATAATCAATGAAAAACACCTTTTTTTGTGGATCTAGAGAAAAAATGACTTCTAAGATCCTAATTGATCCTAAATGTGGCCAGCAGATGTCAGTGTGCTTAAAGTAGCAGCCCAGCACGAGGCCACCAGCTCTTCTTTACTGGTGTTGTTTATTAGTGTCTCTTCCTGTTTGGTGTTGCCTAGTTGTCAGAAGCATGTTAGTCATGAAAAAGTCCTGCGAGTTAAACAGACAGCTCATCCACACCCTCTGACAGCCCACTGACTGTGGATCTTGGTAAGAGAGACAACTACTGTTTAATATATTCCTTTAAAGTAACTACATTTACCTTTCTGTGACTTGCTTGTTGTCCTTTCTACTACTTTCTACTTTCTACTTTGTTTATGTCAAGATGGTTTTAACTTTTCAACACCATCATGAAAATATGATGAAATCTCTCAGAGTTGATCTCATGCTCAAATGTAGCTGTCCGGTGTTGCATTGTGGTGAACAGACTATGAGCCCTTTGTCAAATTGTGTCACTCTCTGTCACATACACACACACACACACACACACACACACACACACACACACACACACACACACACACAAGCGCTTTCTCTCTCACAGCTGTGTGTCAGTGCTCACTGTGACTCACTGTAAGCCAGCCAAACAAGCTGACATGGCACTTATGAATCCCCAAGTAAAGCCTCAGGCAGAGACGCTGCAGGATGTTGCCAGTAAAATCTAGAGGCTAGTTAAAAATAACTTATTTCTCTCAGAGGGGAACAGAGCAGCAGCTACCCAGGTGAGTTACTGCAGACATGTAAATATTTAATACTGATCAGTTGATTAGCTGAATTGTTCTGTATGGATCCTTCACTGGCAGCAGGCCTCAATATGATCTGCATTATTGACGGTAAACTTCAGTCGGTGTGAGGGTCATTGGGAGCTTTTCATCACCAAACTAAGCTTACTAACAAAATATAATTTAAAATATGTTTGAAACGGTGAGTTGGGGTCAATAATGTGATGTTATATTAGGTGAGATTGGTAATCTAAGGGTGATATTCCTTAGAAAGAATGTGTAGTAATGTGGGAATGACATTTTATTGATTGTTTCACATAAATACATTCAAACAAGTTACCAAAAAAGTGTTTAATTTAACCCTAATGCGAACTTTAAGACTAGAATATGGTATTTAAGCTGTCTTTTGATATTATATTAAAGTTTTAGCTGATATTTTTGTTCTTATATCACAATATTTTGCATAGAGCTTAATCAGTTAATTTGTTAATAGATAAAAAAGTCATTTTTAAGCAAAAATGCCAAATATTTGATGGTTCCAGTTTTCTAATTCTATTATGGCTTAAAACTTTGACAAAAGTGGAAAAAAATGTCACAATTTCCTGGTCCAAGGTAATGTGTTGTTTACCCATCAGTTTATTGTAATGTAAGACAACAAAAAATGGCAAATTCTCAAACTGGGAAAGCTGAAACCATCAAATAATTGACATCTTTGCTAGAAAAAAGGGTTTAATTAATAATAATCAAAATTATTTTTTTTGTCTATCTACCAACCGATTAATCAACTAATCATTTGAGCTAAAGTGAGGATTCGCTTTTCTTGTTTTACATGACAATAAAATGAATATATTTGGTTTCAGATGGTTGGTTTGGACATTAAATGCATTTTAAGACATCAGTTGGGCTTTTGGAAATTGCGAATGGGAATTTTTCACAATTTTCTGATGTTTTACAAACCAAACGCATAATCAATTAATTGAGCAGATCAGTTGATAATGAAAATAATCATTAGTTGCAACCCTAAAACTGAAGTAGTTCCAAGATTTAATTCTTCTCACTCAATTACTAATCAGCTCTGTATGAGTGTTTATTGCTATCTCATCACAGTAATATTCTTTAATAAGCCTTTAACACCTCCCTGCTGTCTCATTCATTCCTGATAACTAAAAGCTGCTTACTTCAGTGATTTTAGGTCTGTATCTGGTGTCTAATCTGCACGTATCGCTCACATTCAGCAGTTAACAGTCATACAGTCATGTTGTCTGAGCCTTGCAGACCTTTGGAGCAGCAGGGAGTACAGGGCGATCGGCGCTGTGGTGAGCTTATCAGGGGTCAAAGGATAAAAAAAACGAGAGAAAAGCACAGAGCAAAGAATCAGTGTTTCATCAGTACCTGAGTCTGTTTGTGGGAGAGGAACTTATTCTGCTGGTGTTGGGTAAACCCTGAATGGTTAGTGACTCACTGTTTTTCTTGTGAAACGACATCTATGACACAGAGAGGATGGTCACACTCGGCGAAGTTGAATTCCTGTTTGTTTTTTTTGTTTTGGTTTGAAACATAAAACATAAACTCCATTTATGTGGCTCAGTGCATGTTGTCAGTGTATACTTATACCGTAAGCCACCGCTCTGCCACTGTACAGTCACAGACCTGATCACAGATTATGTAATAGCTCTAAGTATCCTGCTGGGTCCCGTCGAATAAGAGCTCAAACAAACTGCCCCAACAGGAGATTACCTCTACGCTCACCGGTGGCCTGACTGTTTGTGGGAGAGGAATAGTGATATTTCTGCCTTCACAGGATGTTTTAGTGACTGTTCACTTAGTGAGGAAGTCAATTTTAATCATGTATGACTTGTTTTAGTCTTTTTGTTAAGCAAAAGTGGATTTTGTTTGTGATTTCAGCTCCTAAAATGTCAGGAATTTCTTTATTTAGGACTGCAACTCATGATTGTTTTCATTATTGATTAATCAATCTATGAAATACCAGAATGAAAATTGTCACAATTTCCCAGATTCATAGGGGATGTCTTCAAATTACATATTTTGTCTGGTCAATAGTCAAAACACCAAAATATTGAGTGTTCCATGATGTAAAAGAGAGAGCCTGGAAAAAGATTGTTTGGAGTTTGTGCTTGAAAATGACTAAAAAGACAATCAGCCTGTTGAAGAAATAACTAATCCTCAGATATTTGCTGTCATTGTGTGTTTAGTCTCATACTATTATAGAGTGAGCTTGAAGCCTTACGCAGTGTCTCTGTTATTCTGCGATTAGATTCTGCTATTGAAACAATTAGTGATTAATCAATATGTTGATTGACAGAAAAATCCAACAAATGTTCTACTCCTTCAATGTGAGGATTTTTCTCTGTTTTATGTCACTGTAAACTGAATCTGTGGGTTTTAGACTGCTGATCAAATAAAACAAGACATTTGAAGATGTCTCTTTATGGACTTTGGAATAATTTCTTACAGTTTATAGACCAAACAACAAATTAATTAATTGAGAGAATAATTGTCAGATTAAATTGTAATTAAAATAATTGTTAGTTGCCACTCTAGCTCATTTATATAGTAGTAGTTTTGATCTGTAACATGCAAATTGAATAGTAATCTCAATGGGTGCCTTTCTTCAGGCAGCTTTGCATTCAAACAATAGGACTGAGAGTGAGAGTGATAAAATCAAGAATTGATCAAGATCAGTGGAGAGAGAGAAGTGGTACTTAATAAATCAGATGTTAATACGTGACTTAACTCTGTGTGTGTCTGTGTCTGCAGTGTCATGGCACCGTCAGAGGACAGTGTGAGTGCCTGGAGCTGTAAGCAGGTGGCCCAGTGGCTGCAGGAAGAAGGTTTTGGGGAGTATGTGGAGTTATTGTGTACCCAGCACCGCCTGGACGGCCTCAGCCTGCTGGCTCTGACTGAGGCCGACCTGCGTGGGCCTCCGCTGGGCCTCACCGTGCTAGGAGACATCAAGAGGCTGAACATAGCCCTCCGCCGGCTCCAGAGACAGAACCAGGCCCAGCTGGAGGAGCTGGGTCTCCGGCCTACAGACAGTTTCCCTACTGGGCTCTTGCTGGGCGCCGCAGGGGTCGAGTGGAGCTGTGACGGAGCCGACAGGAGGTACAACGGAGGTGATCGGTCATGTAACGGCACTGAGCTGCGGCTGAGGAACGGTGATAGATCTGGATATGGCTCAGGAGCAGCTCTGTGCCATATGCACTCCAACGGGAGGTGTAGGCAGCACCTGGCTGGTAGATTGGACCCAGAGGTGTGGAAGACGGTCCTCAGTACCATTTATGTCTTTTTTGTGTTTGGATTCACATCATTTGTCATGGTCCTCGTACATGAACGTGTCCCGGACACAAGGACATACCCGCCACTGCCTGACATATTCCTTGACAGGTATAAGTGCATGTATGCTGAGCAACTACCTAGACTCCATAGTTCATGTACACTCTCCTGCACTTCTAATATATGCACTGATACATGTTTTGTGTTCTGACAGTGTTCCCAGAATCCCTTGGGCTTTTGCAATGGCTGAAGCCTGTGGCGTCATCCTGTGTTATATGTTTATGTTGATCCTGCTCCTTCACAAACACAGGTAGCCCACAGATCCAGATATTCCCATCACTGATGTACTGTGTTATAATAATATGTGCAAATAATTCACAAATCACTGCTGAGATAAGTGGTATTTGTAATGCAAATATAGTTCTATCTAAATGCATGTAGGTTATGAAGTGTTGTTTGTCTTCGTTTCAGGTCTATTCTCTTCAGGCGGCTGTGTTCTCTGATGGGAACAGTGTTTTTGCTTCGATGTTGCACCATGTTTGTTACCTCGCTCTCTGTCCCTGGCCAGCACCTGAAGTGTGCCAGTAAGGTGGGAAGCACACATGAGAACAGCATGAGATTATGTGCAGACTAGATATGGTTGGCTATTTTCAGGTCTGAGGTAGCCAGTAATTCTTGTTGCCATTGGCAGTAAGTGATTCCCACTGTGATAACTGATGAACAGCTGCCGCTGTGATTCAAAGCACCACTGATAACTCTGGTGTGTTTTTTTGTTCCCCAGACTTACGGTGACACCTTGGGAAAGATACAGAGGGCGCTAGCGATCTGGAGTGGATTTGGGATGACTCTGACAGGAGTCCAAACGTGTGGAGACTACATGTTCAGTGGACACACTGTTGTCATCACAATGCTCAACTTTTTTGTGACTGAATGTGAGTGTTAAATACTTTTTTGTCTACTTTAAAGGGTGACCTTTGTTAAAGGATAAAGCTATATTTTTCTTATCATCAACAAATTCCATGAAAATATCAAAACCAGTAATGTGCTGTGCTAGTACTGTCTGACTTCCCCCCTTGTCTGTGGCTCTCAGTCCCAAGTCCTTTGGTTCCTGTTGAAGAAATCTTTAAAAAGAAGTCACAAATGTATAGTTTCATTTAAAAAAAGAGACATTACTTTTACTCAAAAGGGGAATAATAGTGCAACTGTTTTCAGTATTACAGTATACACAGTATAGCATATATATTACAGTTTAGGAGTAAAATCAGGCATAATAAAAACCATCAGTTAAACTTATAACCACTTTCTCCTTTTTTGGGGGATTTATATGCATAGTGCTCTAGAGGTCTTTTACATATTAGTCTGTAATACAGAAAAAACCTAATTTCCAATCCTGATTAAGGCAAAGCAGGTTGGATCTATCACACGTAAACACATTTTGGTGTTTAAGGGAGTTTAGAGTGTCCCACTGAATCAAAGGAACCAAAGAGGTCCAAACAGCTACAGCTAGACACAGCATGTGCTGCCACACAGTGACACATGTAGGCCATTAGTACAACAGGATGTGTGATTTGGTTATAGATTTAGATGATCTATTATTATCTGATAACTAGAGCTTGCTGCAATTTTTCTGTGGTATTTTTCTGGAGTATTAATTTAGATAATTTAAATAAACTGTACCAAACTTTCGATACTCTGGCCGTTGTAGCTTTTAGCAAACGTCACTCAAACAAGAAGAAATACTGCTTTTATTGGGAACTACTTTCAGCAGTGGACTAATACACAGTTGCTGTGCAAGTCAGTATTTTCAGAAGCAGGATGGTGTAGTGAGGACTCATTCAACAAAAAATAGATTAATCCTTTAATTATTCCTTTTAATTACAGACACTCCACGAACCTGGAATCTGATTCACACTATCTCCTGGGTTTTAAACCTGTTTGGGATTTTCTTCATTCTGGCGGCTCACGAGCACTACTCCATCGACGTGTTCATCGCCTTCTACATCACTACTCGCCTCTTCCTCTACTACCACACCTTAGCTAACACCCGTGCCTACCAGCACAGCCGAAGGGCGCGCATTTGGTTTCCCATGTTCTCTTTCTTTGAGTGCAATGTGAACGGACCTGTCCCCAACCAGTATCACTGGCCCTTCGACAAACCTGCCTTCATGAAAACTCTGATCGGATAGAGTATTCTGTCAAAGATCAGCACTGTGCAATGTGCATGGACTTTAATATTAAAGCCGAAATGAGAAACGTTTTACTTGAAATGCTGCTTCTTATCTGAGGATGGTTATAGGTTTATTTTTGTGGGAGTTTTTTCCCCTCATTTGTATAAATGCATTATCTTTATTTTGTCGACTGATCTTATGTTCAAAGGAATAGTTGGAAATTTTGGGAAATATGTTTATTTACTTCTGTGCCAAAAGCTGTTTGAGAAGATTAATAGTATTACACTCTCGTCTCTGTCTGTTTAAATATGACGCTAAAGCCAGCATTTGGTAAGCTTACAAATTTGTGAGCTTTACAGGAGCTGGTAGGTTAGACAGAGCCATGCTAGCTGTTTCCCCTTGTTTCCAGTCTTTATGCTAAGCTAAGCTAACCAGCTGCTGGCAGTCGGGTCACATTTAGCGTACAGACATGAGAGTGGTATCAGTCCTCTCATCTAACTCTTAGCAAGAAATCGGTTATGTGTATTTCCCCAAATGTTAAACAAGTCCATTAAATTTAATTGCAAACTGCCAAGTAAAACAAAGAAATGTGGTGAATTACGGGGCCTAAAAGCTGCAGGTGCAGATCATTTTCTTGGAGATTTATTTGCCTTATTTTAAATCACTTTCATCATTCATGTTTCACTTTGGGGATGTTTAAGGTTCACTGATGGTCTGTTGGTTGTTACTCTCTCTCAGAATTTAATGTAATGCATGTTGATACTGTAGTTCTCACTTGTTTGGGAGTCATCGTGGTGACAGTTCACATGTTGTTTTGCTGCAAACAGATTTGACACCCGTTTGGTAACTACCAAAGGAGCAGTTGTTTCTTTTGATGTGCAATGGGAATAACACTTCCTGTCCTGAAAGAGCTCTCTTTCAGTCACTTTTTAGTTTCTTCTTCATTTCCACTTCATAAAGTGAACTCTGCATCTTTTGTTATATTTGATAAATGTCACCATTGGGATTGTGAAGCTTCCTACATTCACTTTTAAGCTGAACATTACACTAAATGTTCAGTTTTGCCAATCAGCCCTTTATTTTCTTTATCCTAATTTTATCTCGTTTTATGGTTTTCTTTTTTTTTAATGATTGTTAATTATGTAATGAGTATGTAAATGTATGGAGCTGGATTTTGTTGAAGCTTTATTGTCCAGAGTTTTTCTGTGTTGCACAGAACAAATACTGCTAGAAACAAAGTTTCAAAAGTACATTGTTTACTATGTCATGGTTGATCCAAACTATATCTTTTTAATAATTGTTTACAATTTGTGGCTTTATTTGCAATGCAAGTAATCTATCTCTGCCTTTTGGCTCAGCAATAAAAGTTTACAGATAAGGAAAACTGTTTTTATATTTCAGACTAATTGTCTCCTTGGCTGCTTTTTCACTAATGTGTATGTTTTTGCATTTGTTGAATAAAGTGGATTATAAATTTTATTAAAAATTCAGCTTTCTTGTGCATTGTTTCATACATAATCAATCGCTGAAATGAAAATGTCATGAATCACCGAGGTGTGCCTTTAATAAGAAATATCAACGTAACCTATAAGCCTGCTGCTGTTCCTTCCCTTAAAACAAATATTAGATATCAGTCCATCCGCTATTCAAATATTATCAATAAAGATATGCAAGGGTGCACACCTTAATATAAAGCCCTCATTAGAGCATACTCACACACATCAGCTTCCCACTGACCAGGTCACATCTCAGGATGGTATGTATTTTACACCTTAAAATTAGCTATGAACACACCAGCATGTGTATTACACGCTTTAGTGTAATATCGGATTAAACATAAAGAACTTTTGTCGAGAAAATAGGTTAAATTGTGGTTAAACTTCTATTTTTCTACAGAAATGCAATATAAATTTAGATTTGGTTGAATAAATACATAGAAAAAACTACCAAAAATTTGAGTGCATACTTTAGATTTAAAGTTACCTTCAAATTTCAATATTCAATTAAGGTCAACTGCATTATTTCTTATATGTATACATATGTAATTAATATTAAAAATGTATAAAGTAGTTGGTGGTGGTCGTAATAGATAAATCTGCATGTAAAACCAAAAACCTAGAAGTGGTAGTAAATGATGTCAGTGGTGATTGATAATGATTCAGATGTATGACACAAATGTAAATATAGATACGGTGCAAATCATTTTAAGAGCTGTTCTAGAAAAGACTAGAAATATATGTCACTATCACATACAGTACATTGCAGATAAAATGTCTTTTGCTTTGAAATTTATACATAAAAGTGTATAGTGGAATAATGACAAATCACCTCAACATATATAGCTTTAATGTAATGATACTCGATATCTTTCACTAAATGGGACTGGCTGTTGTTTGTGTGACCCTTATGGGACAAAAATATCATGAATAAAAGTGCATAAATACACTGCAGAGACTATAAAACATGCACCATGTTTACGGACGTCTGTTATTTACTCTTTCAGGCTTCCCTCCATGTGTTTGTTTGTCTGCTGGGTCTGGTTGTCCTGTGTCACTCTGACTGCTTCTTCCAGGAATTAGTGCTGAAAGATTTGAAAAACCCTCCAAAAGGTGAGACAGTACGATTATAACAGCACTGTTGCAACAGATTGGGTTGAGTGGAAACTTTTCTCTGCCATGTTTGACAGAAGTTAGACAAATTAACATAAAGCCCTTCCTTCTTCCGTCTGAGTGTTTCAGCTGAAAGCATCATCCAGCTGGTGTGTGTTTACTTAACACCTGCCGGCTGTCTCAAAACTATCAAAACCACACCTATGCACACATCGATACACAGTCACACACAATTAGTCGCTGCCAAAAACTTATCAGAACTTGTTAAGAGGGTCAACAGCTTCTCTGAACTGTGGTTTTATTTCTTTACATTTAGGGTGTGTGGATAAGGATGGAAAGCAGCATGATTTTGGCTCTGAGTGGGTGAGAGACTGCATGGACTGCTCCTGTACCAATGAGGGCTTGAGCTGCTGTAGCAAGTAAGATTTTCATGATCTGTTTTTATTACATTACACCTCTTATTTTAAAATAAATGACAAAAATCATCATCAGTATTTATGATCTTAGTTTAGTTTTTGTTAGTTTCAATATTAGTTTCAACTATTATTATAGTTTTAGTTTTTTTAAATTATAATGTAGTTGGTATTTGTTAGGGGTGAAATTTGAGAAGTTCAGAATAGATATTACAATACAAACACATTGACTCACAGTCTCAATAAACATATGTACCAATGCCTCCTTCATGCTTGTTGTGTTGACAAATTTGACCAAATTGACAAAGACTAAAACTAAAGACATTTCCTGTAAAGTTTTATTTTATATTAGTTAGTTAGTGATTTTTCACACCTAGTTTTAGTTTAGTTTTAGGTAACTATAATAACTATAGTAATAATGAAAACGTATGTATGAATATTATATTTCATGTTCAATGTTACACATTCAACCTTTAAAAGCAATATTTTCTTTGGACCCTTCCACTGACCTAGAAAAAAACCTGCCCCCCAATATCTTAAATTAATATTTATATGAGATCAGATGTCCATCAAACCTCATAATTAAACCGACACCTGACACACACGAGCAGGTGTATTTTGAAGCAGCAGCTAGAGAGATTGGACTGTCTCTTGCAGACAGCTGAGCACCATACAGTCAAATATCCAAACATAATTTTATTACTGTGGGAAAATAGTTAAATGCTTTTGCGTGATAAAGGCAGACAGCTGTGTGCGGCAGGTTTTCTCACGCTACGTAAGTTTTGTTTTTTATGCACAGCTGAATTAGTTTGAAGCACAAACTGAGTGTATAAACACATGTTTAACCTTGGAAGAACAGACTATAATGGGTAATAATGGGTGGTCAAGGACGAGTTTCACAAAGATAGGCTTTCACTATGGCTTGGATCTACCTAATAGTCAAACTTTAGTTAGTAATTCTTAACCATCTTAAGTATGACTTATTTGCTATGAATTCTGGATAAATTATACTTATTTCAAACAGAAAAACATGTCTGACTGATCAACAAAAAACGGGTTATTTGCAGTCTGGAAGAATTCATCAGTTACAAAAATATTTAAAGGGAAATGTTGAGTTGGGGAGTGAAAGAATACAACAAAAACAAAAATCCGTTATCCTAAAATCTCAGTCCAGTGTATATATACTGTCACTGGTGCAGAGCTGTAGCAGAGCTGTTGTTTCTTCATGTGGCACAGCTCAGTACTTCTGCTGAGTCGTCAGTCCAACTCTTGATCCTCACTGGTGCCACTTGTCAGGAGGTGTCACTGATTGTTACCATGGAAACGTGGCTCTTTGTCCTGAGTTAGCCCGAACTTTTGAGGCTTAAAATAACTCTGTCTTTACTTTTGTGAAAGCTGTCTAACTTGTATCAGCTTCATCTAAAGATAGGCTGACCTTAAAACTACAGGCCAGTCTAAAATAACTGGCCGTGGATTAAAGAGCACGTGTGCACTAATGAACTGATCAACTGTAATTGTAACCTCCAGACCTAATGTTACAAACATCAGCAGTTAGTAAAACAAGTCGGCAACATGTGATGCTGAACTTGGATCCTATTACAGCCTTTACATTCTGCTTCCTGTAACTATCCAGGGAGCACCAAGAGAAATGAGAATGAGAAATCATTCCTGTGACATAATGTGTATTCTGTGTTTCACCAGACTGACATATTGGTCCTATTAGCTATACGAGCTGGTTGTCGTGGGGGAAAATAAAGCTCTGCATATGGCGAAGCGCACCTTCACAATCCATCTTTTGCAGGGGAAATTGGAAATAAAATATACACTTGATATATTTGATTAATAAAACACTCTTGTTGTCTCTCCCACAAAATAAAAACTACCTTGTTAGCCAAGACAAATATTTCAACCCCCTCCCTGTTTTCTGACCCTCCTCCCATCCCAGTCTCTAATTTGTATCAAACCATTTCAAGAGGACCATTTGTGGATTTTTCTTTTCATCTGAGGGTCATATTCTTTCTTCTCGTCTCTCAGATTGCCTGATGCAAACTCAGTAGACGTGCCTGAGGACTGTGAGCTGGTTGTGGATAAGGAGGCCTGCTCTGCCAAGGTGGTGCTGAAGTCAGACCATTCAAAAGAGTGTAACCCTGTGTGAACAGACTACCAGTGACCTGTATACATCAGGGACAACTGAAATCTAAACTGGCAATAAGTCTTTTTTTATGTTTCATATTATGGTGTGTGAAAACAGTAAATTACCAATAAACAAAGACTGATCAAACCTTGCTAGTCGCCTTACTTATCATGTTTTAAATTTCACTCACAATAAAAATTCAAATTCTGCTGCAACTGTGCGTCTGTTTCGTCTTGCCTCTCCTGCCTTTCATCTCTGTAACAGCACTCAAGAGCAGGTGTCATTTGCAGCATGTAATTGAATAAATCCACCACTGTGTGACAGCAGAGCTCAGTGCTCAGAGGGTCTCTGGCACCTAAAGGGCTCGAGCAGTCCAATAATACGGGGGCTGTCTCTGACAGAAACGTTCTGGTTGTTGTGATGTTCAGCTCCTTCTCCAACTCTCATCTCTGTGGATTCGCACCTGTTCAGAGCGTCGTTTTCTCTGTCACTCGGCATCACAGAGACACTCCACTCAGCCAACCCACCATGTGAGTGCTTTATTTTTTTACACCCAATAATGATCTGTTATGCACAAAAATATTTTTGTCAAGGAAAATATGTCTTTTTTAGTTAATCAATTCTAAAAATGTGTGCTGTGTTGTTTGTCAGCTTGCAGTTTCACAGATTTTCAGGTGTACTGTATGTCTCTATCATTACACCTGTTTTTCAAAGAAGCATTTAAACAATAGCAGTCTACAAAAGGCATTTCTGAAAATATGCATCCAATTCCAGCAAGGAAACTGGAAAAAATATGTAGCCGATTGGCCTTAATGGTTCATATACTGTGTGGAACCCATTTCATGAAGATATTTGTAGTGGTAACGTCTTGGGAGGTATCACCCACAATCCTTGACACCCCCAGCAGAGAATAATGAGGCTTGGCTCATCAGGTAGAGCACACTACAGTGCCCACCGCCTGTTATCCTGCTTCTCCACATGCAGGAGACAGACAGGAAGAAAATTGCTTCTGAATAGTACCACTGGCTGAGCATGCACTGTATATCAAAATACTGTTTTGATGACATTTGTTTTTCTGTCTGCAAAAAGAATTCAAAATGATGGATTCCAGAAAGTGAGATAATTTTCATATGTGGACTGGTGTAAAGCTTGAATAAAAAAAGGAGCAAAAAGCAACACTATTAATACAGTAAACATCTTTTAAGATGTACATTATATAGGACTAGATGTGAATCAGTGACTGCACAGAGGGGAATTTGGAGGCTGGGCTTCTTTCTTCTATTATTCTTTGTTTCTTTGTCAAGCACATACAGTATATATAGAGTATAAC